GGGAAAGAGACAGACATTCAGCCTGAGCTCCCTGCAGAAAGACATTTCAAATATTTCGTATAGATTACCTAGGCATGTCATATTTCTGCATTCAGTTTGGCACCTGAATAAATTTGAACTATTAAATCTATTAAATTACTCTGCGTGTAAAGAAATCAACCATTCAATCTCTCTTATTTACATGCTGAATTGGTTACCTTCATCTCATACAGTGGTGGATGAAGTAACAGACTTAGTAAAATCCACTACTTCAGGCCTTACTAGTAAGACTTTTTTTTTAGTAGTATAACTTGCTAAAGTACACAGGGAAATCCTTGCCATCAGATTTTAAGGTCTACAGTTAATCATACATTATTTGTCCTACAAAACATATGTATTTTCATTTGAGAAGCAACTTACGCAGTGCAACGAGCACAGCCCACTGTGTTCTCTATTGTAGCCTTGCAGCAAAGCCAGTTCCCATTCAGAAAAGCAGAAGGGTGGTAAAAACTAAGCCTCTTCTGGTTGCATCTCGTTACCCGGCACAGAGCTTCTATCCACTCACTAGCTTCTACACAGTTATTTGCTTGGATATAGAGTGGCTTTTCTCCATGTAGTACCTGAAACATCTATAGAAGGAACACAGCATTACCTTGCTCAGTAAAAAAAAAAAAAATCCAATTATTGAGCAAGTTTGAATATGTTAAAATAGATTTCAAAGTTCAGGCAACTCAACAAAGCCAAATTAAGACAGAAATGACACATGGGAGAAAACAAGACCACCTCTTTCATTTTACTACACAGCCCTGTGTAGGAGAAAAAAAACAAATAAACCAGAACAGCTCCCTGTGTTCCACCTACACCATTTCCTCATCCAAAAACAAGCGCTTAAAGAATTAGAACATGGATGCATTTTCTGTCCACTTCATTCACCTATCTTTAAATGTGAGCTCAGACTTCATGCTTCATATCCTGAGAGTAACAGAAGATTCCCAGAATTCTCCTTTTGCCACCTTCAGCCTAAGTAACAGCTGTACATTTATCACTGCCTTGGAATTTTGGATTAAAATAAGAACAGAAACACTGATGTGTTATGGGTCCAGAATGAGGCCATGAGCACAGACAACTGCTTCAGCTGATAAAGGTACTGTAGGAACTTCTCATCAAAAGGAATAAGTACAAGTTTGGTAATCTTCCATTTCTAGTAGAACATAATGTAACACATAATACTCATAACTTACATAAAAGTGCTTTGTAATAAGGTCACAGTCATTTTAACCTTCATTCCAGAAATTTTGAAATGGGGGCCAAAGTCAAAATCAGTCAGAAAAACTGAGGCAGAGATCCAAATCTCCAGGTTAAATTCCATGTTCAGAATACTTGGAAATACTGCATACAGCTTTTTATTCCTGATCCAAAAATGATTTTTTTTCTGAAGTGTTTAGTAATAGAGTGTCAGGAATGCTATAAGCTGATGATAAACTTTTATTTAAAGAACACATCAATAATTACATATAAACTATCTTTTGACTCACGTTTTTTTTGTTGAAGGAGTTCTCATCAAGTTTCTCCACTGCAAGGATGTTTTTGATGGGAATAGTGAAAATTGGTTCTTTATCTGTAAAAAAGTAACAAACAGATAAAGGAAGCGATTTTTAAAAAACTTTTTTATAACCTCAGTGCACTGATACTGCAGGTCAAGTTCTCAAAAGGTGCATTTTTATTATTAAGAAAATGTGCACGAGACACAGAAGCATTTGGTAATTAGGGCAAAGGTAACTAAAATATGTACTCCAGGAAAAGAAAAAATAAAGCATTTTAAGAAGCACAAATCAGATGCAAACACTTCGAAAATACTGAAAAAATAAACATCATTTTAAAATAAACAAGTTTACCTTGCTGTTTGTGGTAGGTGAATTCTCTACTTGTTAGACAGAACCACCGCTTTTTGAAATTCTTTTTACCAATCCGAGTCCTTCCCTGAGCTCTTTTGTACATTTCTCTGTAAAGACAGAATCAAATGAAATGCAACCACTTGTCTTCTGAAGAGCTTTCAAAACCATTTATTGAGGTAACACATTATTGTTTATCATGCAGCAACATAAAAATCTACTTCATTGTAATGAAAAATAAAAAAGTCTATTAGTTTTATCTAAACAGATTCTCAAGATTACTCCAGAGTGATTTTCACCTCAATTTTTATAAAATCATTCTATCATTTACTGTTAAGAATGCCAATTACACAGTAATTTTTCCCCCAACTTTAAAGGCAGAACATTTAGCTGGCTGGGCTTAAATAGCATGCAAAGTAATTCTAAATGAAATGAGTATGTTCTTTTAAAATACACTTTCACCATCCTGAATAAACTATCACAGAGCACAGAACTGTAACAGAAATGCAGGTAGGCTTTAATAGGTTTTAAGCTGCTTTCCTTATTTTAAGTATTTAAAAGATGAGTTACGAAATTTTACAGCTGTTGGTTTAAACTAATTCTGCAAACAAAGAATTATCACAAATTACAAATACCAATTTCTACAGTATATAAAACATTTCACTGAGCACTAATCTGACATCGGCATTAATGAAAAAACACTAAAATCAATTCTGTTTCACGCAATATAGAGTAAAGATGTATTTACCCTTCTTTTAGATGGACAGGCTCGCTCAGACCACTGGGCTCTTTACTTTCAGTAGAGGAAACATCATCTAGGAACTTAAGGAAAAATACACAGGGAATATATACTACTCAGAAACAGAGCACAACTGAAAGCTATTTTGAAAATATACCTACACATTTTCTCCCAGAACAGAGCAATTACGTTATGCAACAGATGAAATGAAAATACATTGTAAGGACTTGGAATGATGTGACAAGGGATGCCTAAGCCACACAAGATTTCTTTAGTTCCTAAACAGCAGATCTAATAAAGTTTGTTTCCAAAAAAAGATACTGTTTTTAAAAAACCTAAATTAGCTTAGTCCACTATGTATAACTCTCGTGTATTCAACTGTGTGGATGTTAGGGTTTTTTTTAAAAGTCTGAAACAGACCACAATTGTTTCTTTTTAGTAGATAACTCAACTGTAACACAACCTTTTAATAACTAATACTGATCATATACATCAACCATTAAAAGAAAATTGTAATTGAAAGGTACCTTTTTAACGGATTCAGTAAATTTTTCTTCTTGAAATGCTTTGAAAAACTCACACATAAATGTCTCCTTGAAACTTGACTGAAAGAAAAGGTATATTCACATAAATACATTTTCAAAGAACGTTGTCTATGAAATGAGAAAGAATTTTAGTAGCCTTACAAGCTTGCTTTTGGACAAACTTCCCCAACTTCCCAAAGTCTGGATGGCTTTTGATATAAGAGTTAATGTTCTAGAAGTCTGTGCATCCTAAAACAAACAAAATTCAGAAGTCACATTTTTTTATAATTCCAGGTAATACTTTCGCTGAAAAATGAAAATGTCACAGAAATGATCGTATTACACAATGTAGTAAATCCGACACATCTTCAATCCTTTTCTTCTTTGCCCAAAGAGAAGAAATGCGTATGCAGTATTGTCCTCTATTAGCACTGGTGCTTTATGTATGTTGTATAAGCTACCACACGTTTTACTCATGACCACTAAACTTTAGTATTAGTGCTTGGAAAATTATTTTTACCTATAAAACATCTTAAACCCCTCAAATCCTGTAATTGTTACTACATATCTGATGCTTCTAAACTATTCGAAACTTGATGCTAAACATTATGAACTATTGCTGGACAAACAGCAGAATTTTTCATAATACCAAGTGAAATTAAAAATCTGGCTTTAAGGCTTTTACCTAATTTGTTTGCTACTTCACTGCTTGCATTTTAGTATGAGATTATAAACACAGCCACAGAACGGGGCCTTACTTTAAAGAGTTTAACCCTCAAGTGATAAAATCCTGTAATCTTTTTACTCAACTAAACTGGTAATTTCAAAGGAATAAATTTCAGTAAGTCTACATTTTCTTTTGAAAGCACAACACAGTGAGTAGATAAACTAAACTAATAAAGATAACCTCTTCAGCAGAAGATTTCATACATGTTCTGTATTTTATGTGAAAATACAGCATATTTTTCTTATCTCCACATTCCTCTCTTTGAAGATTTTTTTTTTTTTTTACGCTGTCTACTTGGCAATTTGAAAAATGGAAATCGAAGATTTGGCAACCCAGTGCAACTAGTGGAGTCCAGAATAAATATGCAGACTAATTACTGTCTAACTCTACAATGTCTGTTTAAGATACAAATAAAAATACGTTTTTTTAATTAAAAGTGACACCTGGATATTAAACTTCCATGGTGGAAGGGACGAATGCCATTTAGGCATATGCCTTAAAGAACCCTAAATCATGTTGCTATTCAAAAAAAGCACAATCCCAAAACATGCACAGCATCTTTAATATCCATAGCTCTTCCACATTATTTGAGTGCCCCTCATAAAGACTGAGAAATTTGATGCTTAAAGAACTGCAAATGCCTTAGCTCATCTGGTGATAACATTGAAAACGCAACCTACAGACATCTAGTAATCTTATTTTCCAGCTACAGACCCACTGAAAGTAACTTATGCCTTCCCAGATAAACAGATCTGACGGTTACAAATAAAACAGAACAAAGCTTCACGGAACTTACTGGATGGTGAGGTCGTAAATGAAAAGTATGAGGTGAGACTACGGCTACAGCAAAGAAACGAAGAAACACAAAGCTGCTCACTGCAGAATACTGTACATGAGGGTCATCTGCAGAGAAAAACCATGAAATGTAACATGCACTAAACTTAATAGGAAATAATGAAGACAGTCAACATAAAAATCCTTATAGAAGATAACGCTAGAAGAGACATCTATATTTCAAAACAGAATAGAAAAATCAATGAAGTGCATGAAATGAGAAAGGTGATAATGGGAAGAAATGTTCTACTTATAACAGAGGGTTTATTTCTCTGAGTTCTGTTCTCATAAAACTGGCTCATCAGCTCCACTACTAGGAACAACGAGATTACTGCAAGCATTTACATACACAGTGTTGACCAGGCACAGCTATATGCACGTTGAACCAAAAGAGAACATTCTGTCGCAGTCACTGTTACACACTAGGGCTATTTGGTGTTATCACCTGTAAAGCTATCACTGATCAACTCATATACATTAACGCTGCACAACAAATGCAGTCAACACATATGAACAACTTAAACTCCGATTCTGAGCTGCTTCATAAAACCTTGGTGTTACACTATTTTGATGCTGTAAATGAGGATTTTATCATTTAATATTTTGGATATATTTAGACCTTTAAGCTTGGAAATTTAGTAGGATAACATCCATATGCTAATGATAATTTCAATCTGATCTGTCTGGGAAGTCAGCTATTCTGAAAGGACTGACTTAACTAGAAGAATTTATGGCATCGGTTCCAGTGACAAACTTGAATTAGAAAAAGACTCCAGATTATGACAGGTATAATTCTTCTTTAGTAGCTTATTAAATGATATTTCAGATTTTAATTGACTGAAGTGTAAGAGTATTTCAGACAAACCATATCATTCCTAAATCAAAACCATCCTGAAATAATAATACTGTTCTAATACCGGTCATATTACAAATGCATTAAATATTTTACATTATCCACTTCCCTCACAACTACCCATAAGTAGTAAAGCTGGACACTTATGTTACGAATGTGCTAGTCATAGTTAACACAGTTGCAGTTAGTGTAGTTAAGATGTAAATACCAAATTTATTTTCAAGTTTACATCTTGCTTCTTCAGAAGTAATAAGCAGATCAGTTCCTCCAAATTTTACATATCTTTCAAATAAATCACTCCCTATATTACTTGTGCTTTTCTCCTAGTATCTCTTATTTTTGTTGGCGACTTCTTATTTGCAGTTGTCCTGCGGTGTTTCTGACCTGCTATATTTTTGTACCACGACATAAAAAATTCTTGCTGATTGACCACAAGGCATGACTATAACTTACATACTGACAGAAAAACAAGTGTCTGATTGTCAAGGTAAGAAGTTCAGGGTAGCGCTTTGGACACGACAAGAGTTCTAACAAGCCCTATAACGTAACTGCAGGACTTAGTATTTCACACTGAACACCATTTTCAGAAGTTTTTTGAGAGCACTTACTTGGAAATCTTTTGGCAGACAGATGCCTCAAAGAATAAAAAACATCACACATTAGGGTAGGACAACTTATACTTGACTGCACAATTTCACGGAATACTTTGTCTACATAATAGCGCAGATTTTCCTGCAATTATGAAAAAAGGTATTTTTTCAGACCATTAACATTAGTATTTCTGGTTTTTCCTAAACACAAACATAAGACTACAATTCATTTTTCAAAATACTGCTTCACTGTTCAATTATGTATTTTAGTACAGTGCCTACTTAAAAAGCCTCATAATATTTATGTGAGATTACTAGTGTTAAAAGATTAGTTATATTCACTTACATTGAAGTATATAAGCAGTGCCTGGCAATACACAACTATCTACGAAAACCATTTTCTGTAATTTTACAACACGTTACAAGGAAGGAGCATTTCCCACGCATACCTAGTGACTGTGAATTTAGTTTGACGCAGCTACAATTGCCTTAAATGTCATCCTCTGGTAATACGTAAGCAGCAAGCAAAACTTCAGTTAAAGCAGTCCTAATTAGTTGCTTCATCATCCAGATATTGGATACAGAACATCAGGAATCACAACACCCAACAAATTGGTAAGGAAGACAGTAATTCTCCGTTTAGTTTGTCCTCCCTGTCCCATTTTCTGCTGGACTTCTCCTTTGCTGTTTTCATAAACGGGGATAAGAAAACACAACTTTTCCTTTGTTTACTCTGGAATCAGAGAATTACACTGCTACCACAAGTTACTCATTTTCCATTACACAGAGTTGCTTTTTAAAATGTTTTTCTATCAGATTTTGAGAAAGATTAAATTAGGGAAAACAGATTAGGAAACTCACCATATTAATTTCTACATTATCCCCTTCTCTTAATTTGATGGGATCTATTTCACAGGGTTTAGGAGACTCACAGATCTGAAATAAAAAAAACCCCAGCCTATAAGAGTTCAATTTTTCAGACAGAAAGCATGGAAACGCACCTATTTAAAACCAGATTCTGTCCTAGATTTAGGGGTAAAACTCTAAATAGGTCCTAACAATCCATAACAGCATACAATAATCATCCTCACTTGTGTGTGTGCCTTTTTACACAGATCAGCATCGTGTGGGTAAATTCTGCTCGGTGTTAAGAGGCTGAAGCAACTGTCATTGACTGTTTATTTTCAAGCATCTGGAACATAACATAAAGCAGCTCCTTCCACTAAACCTAATCAATTATTGCTCAATTTATCTTTCTTCTAGAATTCCCCCAAATGAGTGACTACTACCACACAAGGAGCTGTGAGAAGAATGCCTATCAGAGACAGGATACCCCAGGGGGCTAAGTGTCCTGAAAACAGATTTAGTAGGTTATCCTACCTCATCAATAACAGGTTTCAGAGTAACCTTTAGGTAGTGCTTCCCCACTATTTTCATCATTTCATCTACACACCGAGTTGCTAATGAGTTGCCTCTGAAGACTGTGTTTGCTTCCCTGTAAGAAAAGAATTAATTTCATTTGAACAGGAAAAAAATTAAGAACAACAGTTACAAAATCTAATTAATACTTGATCTTACTATTAAATAATTAATTTTTTGAAAACATTTCTTTCATGTATTTTAGTCAGGAATTCCAGAACCTAGAAACTCAGCTTGCAATAAAACTCAGGAACGGAAAGAGAATAAGAATACTATTACAGCTATTATCAAAACCAGGAACATAAATAAAGCCTAAGAAATTTTAGACAAGGAAGTTATAGTCCAGTGCTGAATGTGAGAGAAAAATTTGAAAAAATTCCAAAATAATGAAGACTTGTACCTCACCAATATTCAATTCTTTCTCCAGTAGTCCTGGTGAAAAAGTCTTACAGCTACAATGAATAGCATACTGAACTCAAGACACTAACCAAACCATATTTAACCTAGCATTATGCTTTTTATTCATAACAACTGGTGAAGAAAACAGAGCCAGCTGTGCAAAATAAATCCTTCTAATCTGAGAGATTTAGTTTAATCTTTCTTTGTTACAGTCCAATTATGATGGAAAGGAACTAAAAGGCAGTTTAGAAATTTATTTTCCATGAGTCACCTCTTTCTACACAGTTAAACTGTCTCACCTTATTTAAACCCAGAGTAAGTCAACTTTGAAATGAACCATCCTGTGGTGACAAAATCCCTTCCACATCCCCATACATGATTCAGCACCTCAGTGGTCACTACTCAGGTCTACTTCATTTCTCTCCTAACCACAGAGCTGCAAAATCACAGGTCACACAGTGCTACTTGGAAAAACTCCTGTGCTTGCTACTTTCAACACATGCAGAAGGGCACCCCTTATTTAAGTCATATACTAAAGGAAACAGGATAAGACTCTCAGCAATTTAAAAAAATGTTAAGTACCAACCTAATGACCAGTAAAATGTGAAGAATGACCAAGTTACGATAATTTAAAATAAATACTTTGTGCTCTTAGACAACTCTAGAGTACCAGCTTGCTATGCTTAGGTGTATACTAGCTCCAAGAAAATTTTATGAAGTTTTACCAAATAGCACACAACCATTAACTCCGACTCTCAGCTTCAACATTATTTTAATGAATGTTTTTAGAACTAACATTAAAAGATGAAGAAGATTTAGTTAGTTTTACACAATGAGAGAAAGAAACATCACGAAGCCCTTTGAAACCCTAATAATTAAAAAGACATGACATCACTAAACAGAATACGTACTGGGTGTCCTTCAGATCTAGTTCTGCCACTGCAGCAACAAATGGAACTAGCTTGTGGTGGTGCACCAATAATCGTACAAGAGGCAGAACAGCATCATACTTGTCTCGACAAACTTCACTCAGTATGTAGGCAGCAGATGCAGAAATTGGCTGTGAGAAGGCAGCATATGGAATCATGAGTGAAGCAGTTAAATGTTCTTGATGTATTTGGCAAAGTACAGATCAAATCTAACAATTTGATCTATAGACATAGACATAGGTCCTTAACAGAAATCTTCAACACTTGTTGCATAACATGGCAATTAAAAGTTTCCATTCTACAGAAAAAAACTTAATTAAAAAGTGGTATTATCTACTCTATACGTGACATTAAAGAGTGAAATTCAGCATCTACTCACCCTTTTCATTCTCCTTACAGTGTTAGAGTATGGCTTTGTCACAAATCCATGTAAGAGGCAGTAGGCAATTGCTTTACTATAATGTCAAGTATCTTTATAGGACTTTTAAAACTATAATCAGAGCATATTAATTCTCACACTTCTAAAGTGTCTGTCACTATTCTACAGTTGGTAACTTCAATACAAAACCTGATCCATTTATGTAATTTAAGTATAAAAAACAGTTGCTGAGTGCTGCTAGCTACATATTCAGCTTTTCCTGAATTCCAGTGAAGTGGTATTTGAATATGGGCGAGCAAAAATTTTAGTCGCAATCTGCTTCCTCTTTACCTTTCTTCTCTGCCAGTGCTTCACCGACACTGAAGTGAAGACAGACTATAAAAGACCTAGGAATATAAAGCCCAGTTCCTGTCTTAATGCTATGCCAATCATCTACCACACTTCCGTATTTGTCACCATGTCCACATGAGAAATCCAGTCATGCTGATTAACATACTGGGAGAGACAGAGGCAATTCAGAAGAAGTGGAATTAGTAAACAACTCCAAAGACAACTATTTTTGGTAAAGTCCCCTTCAGTGCCAATAATGAATCAACGTCCCCAGAAAACTGCAGAATCCAGGGGACAAATGGCAGCCAGTGGGGAAAGACAATGTTGGAAAGAGCAACCAACAAGAAGAAAGTCTTCCAGTCACACAGCACAAGTTGTTTCGCTGTCTTTGCTAGTTCTTCTAAAATAAAAAGAAAATCTTGGTAGTCTGGAGCAGAAGTAAATGCTCTACAAGCTGGTCATCTAGTTGTGACAAAAGTAATTCATGCAAAGAAAAAAGAGAATTCTCTAGATATGCATAATTCACATTGTCTCACACAGAGGTGCATAGTTAATTTTAAGTTTTCATGTGAAAATAAATTTTCAACAAAAGTACCTGAACATCTGATGATTTTAGCAGCAAGTTTCTTAGAGAAGTGTAATATTCAGATGGAAGTACACAGTCTTCAGTATAACAGATATTTAATCTAAGTGATCCCAGATCATCAGTTTTAGACTTGTTTCCATTTTCTCTTGGTTGAAGTAAGTACCTGAAAGAAACAAGGCAGTTCTAAAATATTAGATTCACATTTCATTAACTTGAGTAATTTTACAATAAAACAGAGTATCACATTATTATTCCAGTATATATAAGCAGAGTCTAATAACTAGCAACAAAATTCACATTAAAAAAACCTTGAGATACAAAAGAAAAAGCTAGGAGCAGCATTTGATGCACCTTTAGCACATAATGAAACATATATTTATTTTCTCATATCTTTCCTAACAGTGAAATAGGATATAGGTTTCACTATGAGCTAGAGGTGCTCAACTGGGATGGCAGGAATAGTTACAAATTATGTTGGACCTTTCCATTTTACATCTAGGTTACATTCAGGGTGCTGGACATTGCAGATGGAACAGCTAGTGTCAAGAATTTAAATTCTAGTCTGAAACTAGGAAACATACCTAAGATTTACTTGTTTCTTAGGAATGCATCCTGTAAGATCAAAGGAAAAAAGCCTGAGCTCTCAATACAAAATATATTACACAAATCTTCATTGGCTTTTGCTGTAGTTCAACTGTATTCCAACAGGAGGTGCAGCTCAACAACAATTTCAACAGCTTACGTAGTGCCACAGTACAGTTTCAACATTCAGCCTGACAAACAGAAATCATATCTTAAAATATTCTTTTACAATCATTTCTATTTGTTTTTGTTGTTTGTTTGTTTGTTTGTTTTTACAATCAGGAGATCAGGTTGGTTTTTTTTAATCATCAGATGTATTGCCCATGAAGGCATGCTAATAAAAAGTAAAACTTATTTACAAGGAGAACCTCTACTTGACAGCATGGATCTTAGGCTTATTTTCCCAGTATTTAGTACTAGTGATACTGATTTATCTGCTGTACTTCAGCTGCATTAAAAACCTTTTATGTGTATTAGTCACAGTACTAAAAAATCAGTTATTTTTAGTCACAGAACTGTTCTCAATAAGCAGATCATAATTGGATATGAGGGTGTTCAATGCAAGGTATACTCACAAAGCATATTAGCAGACACAAACCTCTCTGTCGATGCTTCAAGTGAACTGGGCATGAGTCAGGTAAATTAAAAAAACTATACAAATACAGTACACTGGTAATGAATCCATGCTAATATAACCTCTCTTAGCAGGTTGCTAATGGAGGCATGTCATTACATCAATATGGTCATACAGCTTTTGAGCAGCTCAGAGCACTGGCAGAACAAGCCCGTGTCTGCAATACATGGTGTAAAAAATTGAAAATACTGACAAGCATTTATTATGTTTAAGATCACATTCAAGCACTAAGACTAAGAATCAGAGACCAACTTCGACACATCCAAGAGACCTGCAACCTGAGGTAGGTATGTGGAGCAGACTCAGTTGCTCCTGGCCAAGAGCAGAATCCATTTAGTTCCTATTTACCCACTTCCTTCCCATGTGTTTTCTATGTGGATATGCAACGGCTCCCTCCACTCTTTTCTCTTTACTGAAAAGTACACTAAAAGCAGAATATTCTACACACTTTGAGGCATTCGAGTCTTTTGTATTCATCACTTCCTGCCACTATGCATCTCGGATAGTAAAGGGGCTAGAGATCAGCTCCTGTTTGCAAGAACTTCAGAAGGGAGGTTGCTGCTATGTTATAAGCAGGTCAGTCTGTCTTGAATTCCCTTCATAGCTTACACTTCCAGCTTTTGAAGTTCTCCTTGCTCCCCTGAAATGACACTGGGAATTTAATTACAAGTGATGCAATTCTGAGAAGTTTCAAGTTTGCTGAAAAGCATACACAGATCACTAAAATCCAGCAAGCTGACTGAAAGATAGTTTTATGTTCAGTCTTTCCTTCGCTCTCTGCACTGTCCCCTCAAACACAAACTATTCCGTGGAAGCAGGGTAAGAAGAGACCGAAATCTACCCTCTGGCAAGGTTAATTTACTGAGCAAGGAAACTGTCTAGAAAGACATTTTACCTAGGGTAGAACAGGAAGATGTATTTTAATGGCTAGTTAGAATAAAACATATCCTTTGCAAGGGAAGATCTGCAAGACAGAAGCACATTGACTTCTGAGCCACCATTTCTCACCATGCTTGAAAGGAATCATTCCTTAACACCTTCACAGGAACTTTAACTTCTCCTAGAAAGATGTCTTGTACCAAATTTCCATTATTCCACAGGTCAACCCTGAAAATAAGAACATTGTTTATTTTTTTCTCTCCCAGAAATAAAAATCTTTAAGTTAACAGCAACTGCCTTAGAGCACTAATTCACATGCATACAGGCAGGAAATGTTAGAAATCTCACTCCATTCTAATTAAATCAAGAAGCATCAAACAAGTGGCTTATTAACCCATAAAGAACAGATAAAGAAACAAACAGTGAAAGTTAGACTCACAGACCTTGCATCAGTAAATAAAAGTGATATTGGCAACATAGATGTATTTTGAGCAGTCTCCACCCCCGAACTTGTGCACATCTCTTCTTGGGTAATTCAAGTGAACGTTTTAACCAATACATTTTCATATCCCTGTCTAATTGCTCAATTTCGGCACACTGCAATGCCACATCAACACATGCGCTTGTTTTCCAAACAGCAGCTCGTATGCTTACAACCTCAAAAGGAATCACAGACTCCAGACATGCACCTTGGGTTTTTTCTATTACTTCTTACCTCTCTGACATTTCTGACAGACAGCAGTTGTTAAGAACAAAAAAACAAAATTAATACTAGATTTGCTGGGGTATGACTGTTTTTCTAAATATATTTGCATCTATAGTGAAAGATACAAATCAAATTAAGATATTAATGAAGCTAACAGTTAAAAAAGCACATACTAAGTTAGTTCTATAATGGCTATTACAACTAACCACTAAATTCTTCTGATGCCTGCTATGAAACATATGCTAGCCTGGAAGACTTTTTGTCATTCAGCAGATCTGGTGCATGTATGTATATGAGCACAATAAAGAAAAGAAACTGGGGTTCTTGACTGTTCTAACTACATAGCACAAATACAGGCAGAACTGCTCTAAGGGTGGAGGAGCAGAAAAGGAGAATATACTTTAAGTATTCTTTGCACTTGTGAAGTAAAAAGGCAACCTAAACGTTCCTCTAAGAAGCAACACGAAGCAGTAAGAATTTCATAAGAGAGGCTTTTGTCTCTGTTTTAGTTAAATCAGCAAACTACACTTGAAACCATACACTAGCATCAGGTATGCTGTTTATCCTCTGTACAGGTCCTATTACCAATATCCTTCTCAGACTCGTAGATACTAATAGGAGGTCCTCAGGCCTCTTTACTCACAAGCACAGCAAACAAGTTTAGGCTGCTAGATACACTCTACCACTATTTACTTCAAAGCGAAAAACATCATCTTTGGTAAGAAACACGCTAAAAAAAAATCTGAGTAATTTTTTATGTTAGAAGGATCTTTTCTACAAGTCTGATCAGTAATTCTCTGGAGTTACACTAAAACAGAACCTTTCTTTATTGTCTTGATAGTAAAATATTATAATCTATTAATGCTAAAAATAAATCACTTTCTAATCTACATAACTTACCTGACTTCTAGTTTCTCAATATCTTCTTCTTCCACCTGAAACTGGGACTTTTTGGTGTAACTGCTAGACCTGGTTACCTGCAAGCAAATTCCTCCTATTAATACACTGTTTACTATTGTATTATGGATGTCAAAAAACACAAATAAACCCCTGCCTCTTTAACACTGGTAAATATTTACTGTTCCTTTTAAAAAGGAAAAAGTTCAGTTCACCAAACAAACTGCCTTTTGACAGAAAGCAGATGAAAAATGGGTCAAGAAGGGTTCATGGAACAATCTGATGAGGGCTAGCTGACATCTAAGGGAATTATAGTATAGATGTATTAGAAAAAAAACCAGAGAATTATGACATGAAACTGGCAACAATTTCCTTGGTTTGAGGATGAGCCCCAAGAAAGCATTAAAGGTCGTTCTGAGATATTGAAGGAAACAAGAAGTCCACTCTTTCTGTCCTAGTTATACAATTGTAACCTCTTAATTTTCCTCATTTCTTGACTGATTGCATTCTCAGTTTAGCTCCAGTAAATCATAAGTCAAAGTTATCAGAGTGGTCTGGATCACATTTTTATCCTAATACTTTACTTCCTAAGAAATGACACTCTTGAGCAGCTCAACTGAAACACATGCTATATATTGATACTTTATACAGTATAAAGTACGGAACAATTTCTTACTGAAGCCCCTCAGCAAGACCGGGATCTATGTAAATGCAGTAAACTATAATACTTTTGAGGAACATGCAATAGTTGTACTACTTCCAACTCTCAGCTGAACAGTATAGTGTGCTTGCATGCAAATACAGTTTTTATTACAGAGACAAATCAGATGAAAATTCAAACTCAATTTGTTTTTTGTAGGGTAACTCATAGAATTGCAATCAAATCCTAAGTAAACAAAAGAATTAACAAGTTTTTTAAATAAAACAATAAAGATAGCCTTTATAGGTTACAATTGGTACATTGTTTTGTTAAAGAAGTAAGTTGGGGGTCTTTTTAACTCAATGTTCTTGAAAATATTTAAATCAAATTCCACAGGATAAGCTAAAGTTCTCTCAGCACTCCTGATGGCAACAGATGCTATATAAAGTGATCCAAGATAACGAATTACCTTCACACACGTGCTTGCGAGGAAATAATTTTTCACATAGCCACTGAAGGTGGATACTATTGTCTGGTTGCCCCCAGAAATTTAATTAAGTCATTCACTTACATCTGATAGGCCAGGTAAAGCTCTTCAATTTGCTTGAAGAGAGCTTTCTGTGTTAGATACTGCTATGCAGATTGCTTAAAAGTATTTGAAGGGTTGCATAACATAGATAAACAGGCAGAATACCACACAAGAAGTTACCTCAAAATAAAATGTTTCGTTAAACTGCGGATTGCTTGTTTTCTTCTTTACTTTGGTCTTCTTTTGGTCATTCCTGTTCCAATGTGGTAAAATTTTTACCATAGACAACTTAAACACACAATTATAAAGACATTCTATCGTCAAGAAGAACCCATGCATTTAAGTTAAAACATACTTTGTCATTTTCGAGATAATTTTGATCAATGATGAAAATCTTAAAATAAGAAGAGTTCATCTTCACAATATAGTTTGAAAAGTTGAAATTTCAAGTACTGTATATCTAGTTAATCATGCATCTGTACAGCCCAACGTTTCTATTTCATTTCACAAACAACATGTATCAAGCAAAATACATCAGCAATTCCTACAGCGTTTCAAACTTGAGTCTGCAGACTTCACCGCAGGTTATGAACACAGTTTTCCTCATCTTGTTCAACCACCAATTTCTGTTTTTTCCACCTTCTTTTGTTGGGGAAATACCCACTACTTCTTTACAGAGGCTTACACCAAGCCACTGAATGTTTCATTTGGAAGAATTGCTGCTAATGCTACATGCTAAACAGCACACAGTCAAACAAAACAATTGCTCCCCACTGTCTTGTGTCTTAGAGACTGGGGGTTATTTTGTTTGGTTGATTAATTTTTTTTTACACATTTTACTAAAGAATACAGTCTTATTTATTTAGTAGAGGCCTATAAGAGTACAAAAAATGCTTTCTAAAGGACACAAATGAAAAATGTCAAGGAAAAACAGATGAGAGAGATGAAAAATTGTCGTAGACATCAACTAACTGTTTTCAGGCACTGGTCATACAAATATTGCAGTCATGGCACATGACTCACACATGCATGAGATCGGAAAATCTTAACCAGGAACTTCTGTCAAATTTGCACATCTATTCCCACATCTACAGGATAAATACTGTGTGGAACCAACATTCAACCAGTTCCAGCTGTATCACAGGACTCAAACAGGAAATAAATGTCATTTACCTTCCTTGGCAATCAACATCCTGTTTCCGAGGTATAATGCTCAAATCTCCCTAGTCCTCTTAAAGAAAAAAAAAACCCAAACCCACAACAAAACTGAACAAAAAGAAAAACAAACCCCAAAAAAACCAAACAACAAAAAACCCCAAACCAAACCTAAAACAAATGTTATCATATATTGCCGAGGAAAAAAAATGTCTCCCCCCCACCCAAAGCTTACACAGAAACAATCTTTCCAAAGTCTTTAAAACACAGAAGTCTGCTAGAGGACATTCTGGCACTATGCTCACACTTCGTCAGTACCAGAGCAAGCAGATGGTCTTAGGTTTGAAGTTGCAAAAAAGAAACAACTGAAACCTAGGTTACTTTAGGTGATACTGGATAAAGACTTGCAGATAGTAAATGTGTAGGATATTGGATTTTTCTTAAATGAAAAACCCCAACAGTTATTCAGGATTACCAATCCGAAAAAAGGAGATATTGAAACTGTGGGCACTTTTAGTAGCATCCTGAAGGCACTGGCATTAGAAAGGTCTTGCCAGAACCTCTACTCTTTTGCTTCCTCCCAATTGCTAAATGCTTGCTGCAAAGAAACTCGCACATTAAGGAAAGCAGGGAACAGAGGAAGGCAGCTGAGCAATTGACTGTACGATCCCATACAAGAATTTGACAAAAATTAATAGGAAATACAGTGCAGATACCAAGGGTCCAGTATGAAACCTGAGAAGAAAAAAAAGAACTGAGCGACAAGTAGTCCTTGACTAGTGCAGGCCATTTAGAGAGGCCAAACCCCTTCAAAGTTTTGGGAGTATGGTAGGGAAGGGCAGAGTACAGAAACAGCGGAAGATGTGATGTACGCAGAAAGCATTTTAGATTTTTCTGTATTTTAAAGATTTTGCTTAAAACCTATGACTTTCTTTTTCCAGTTTAAGATCACAGCATTTTAGATTTACTAATTTTATACTAAAATGTTACCTGGAAGGCCCCACAAGAGAGACTGTTGCATAAGGGTCACAATTCTGTCCATTTATAAGAGGCAACCCATGGCACTCCTTTATGCTACAAGAAAAAGGCAATCAATAGATCAGTGAAGCATGTTTTTGGCTTAAAAATATAAACCCCAAACAATCCTTTATTTTTTAAAAGATTTTTTTTTACGTCTTGACATATTACACACCAATATATACATTGCTCTAATGTATGCACATGAAGCAGACCGTAACTACAGATCTCCGGATGGTAATACAAGGTAATACTCAAGTGTACAACCAGACTTAAGGGGTTCTGTGAAAACAAAATTCTTGGAATTGCTTTGATAAAAGACATTCCAGTATCACACCTGCATGGCAAAATCTTAAGTAAAATGAACTGCTACGTTAGGGGAAACTGCAGACTTCATTAACTTTTAAATTTTAATTTTTCAAGGCCCACAAAAAGCTATTTGGCCTCATCCAATTAAATACTTAATTACAGCCTAACTACATTCTGAGTTAAGTAAGTTGAGGAATGCAAAGTCATATCCTGAAATGTTATTTAAAATTAAGCATCCAAAACTCTTAGTATATAGTCCTAGCATATTTAGGTTCCATCCATACTATTCAGACACGAAGAAAATCAGTTTACCTTTGAAATAGTGTTTAAAGCATATTTACAAATGCTTTGCACAATAATGCATGATTGGGGTTAAGCAGCCCTTTCTAAAATCCTGTCTTCTTCCATCATTTGTACAGGAAGTCGTAAGCTGGTGTTGAACAGGTACATAGGCACACTGTTCATCACTCCTGATGCAAAAGGGATGCTATGGTTAGAAAATCATGGGGAGAGAGACAGTTTCTGGACCTTTTCTGAAGGCTTGCAGTCTTTTTGAATCACCACAGCAGCAACAATACTAGAAGCAGAGCTGGGTCAGCAAGCTGACTAACTTTCAGATGCTGCCCACATGCGAGTATTAACTAAAAACAGCTGGAACAACAACAGTAAAGCAAAACAGTTTGTAAATTTATAGCAGAAACTAGGCTTTCTAGCAAAATGATGCTCTAATGTAGCTGTGCACACTGCAGTATTTATTAAGTCCAGCAACATTCAGCAGATTACAAAATTTGATAAACAGGTAAGACACAAATGAGATCTGAATGTTATACTCCTGCTTGCTCTTTTTAAAATAACCTATTTTTAAATAATGTGTTGCAGGGAATTTAAATTAATACAAGTAAGTTTTGGTTGCCATAATTAGCCAGTTTGAATAAAATCTAAAACCCATGTAACTTAAGGAGCAAACAGACTTCTATGCTCTAAGTTCACATAAATAATCGAGTAAATCAAGTGAGTGTTCTAATACCATAGCATGGAATAGTAATAGTTGTGCAGATTAAATTTAAGTTACATAGCATCAACAGGAGCTACACACTGTTGTTAAGTAGATGCTTTTTGTACTGTAGAAAAACAGTGTTAACAGAGTAACAGGAGTTGCAAACTCAAACACAAGTGGGGAAACAACAGACACTAGTGCTCCTGTACTGCCTCAAAACTACACCCTCTTTGGAGTATGCACAATTATAAACCGGATGGTATTTCCCTCCCCCCAAAAGTCCCTTTGTCTTAGCCAGTTCAGAGAACATTTAGTGCTGAGCCATTAAACAATCATTTGTTATTTTTCTTCCAGTTTTCAAGAACATGGCCTTCAGCATTTGAATAATTTTTGAATCACAACGAACCCTACAGTGATTTTAAACCCACCATTTAAATGGGCTCTTGAAACATTCAGTTGTTTCATAAGCAGTAATTGATTCCTCCTCCAACACACACGTGGCATAGAAGAGTGGCGACAAAATTAAACTGTCTAGACTTTTCAGTCATCTGGGGTATTTGATTTGAGGCAGCGAGAGCTTGATTCTTTCAGACTACCAGGAATTTGGTAGCACTAAACATCCCATCTCTGCAGCTCCCAGATGTTTTTGGTTTTAGGTGTGAGTGCTAAGTGTACCTACTTAGCCTCAACTTGAGTCTCAAAGGAAATTCATAGCAGTTGGATCAAGTCAAACTTACCTGGATAGAATTAAACTATTTTAACAAGAACAACACAATTTCTCTTCCTACAGCCTGTGTCATGTTCACCAAGCTCCTGGATTTCTCTAACAAACAGATCTAAGTCCTAGAGAAAGCAGTTTATTTCCCTATGCAGGAAGTTTCTCACTCCCTCCCTGATCACTGTGTGAATGACCTGCATACTTGACATAATGACCCTGTGGGAAAACGTGTATTATCATACAAACAAAATCCGATCACAATACCTTACTTTTGGTTACAGAAACAGCTTGTTCCCACCTCCCCTCTTCTTTCAGCTTGACCACAACACACACAGACTGCAGGAAT